AAAAATTCTCTGTAGAGTTCTTGTTTTTATATTACTAATAATCTCAACTTGTAGTCATCTTTAAACAGAGCCGGCGACAACTAAGCGTCGTTTTCCGGCTACCGCCACCTGGACCCATCTGGTTTCCTTCTCTTCACACCCGAAAGCTCTCCGCGTGCTTCGTTAGCATATTTCTTTTCCTTCCCCTTCCAAAACTTCTATTTTCGACTTCTGTGAAAGTAAACAGACACAGAAGAGAGACTCTTCCTCTACTGTTTTTTTATGGGATGTTCTCATCTTTTCCCCTGGATAAAAGTAATTCCGAATTGTTTATCTACAGATTCAGAAACACGAAAGTTGGAAGAAGAAAAAGCATAGATACAAAAGCAGAAACCCCACTTTATTATGTCTTCAAACTCCTGACTTCCAAAGATTCTCATCTATAAAAATTTGGCATTGATACACATTCCAGATCCTTCTTTCCATTATTAATTCGATTTTGAGAGAACCCAAATAAATTTCATCCAGGATTCTGTTCGATTCCCTGTAAAGTTATGGCCTTGATAACGGTTTTGTTCCTGTTTTTCCTTTTTTCTATTGGGTTCTGTAATGAGGGTTTTAACTCTCACCTTTTACCGAGAACGTTGATGCTCGAATACCCAGAAAACGGTGAGACACAGTACGGAAAATTTGACGAGGAGCTACTGTTACAGTGTACGAGTTGGAGGTTTGCGGCGTAGACTAACAATTTGAGTCCATGGAAGACGATTCCGAAGGAATGTGCGGAGTATGTGAAGAATTATATGATGGGTTAGGGGTACAGTATGGATCTCCAGAGGGTTTCGAATGAGGCTGAGGTTTATGCGGAGAGTGTGGAGTTGAGTTGGGATGGGAAAGATGCGTGGGTTTTTGATGTGGCTGAGACTTTATTGTCCAAACTCCCATATTATGTAGAGCATGGATATGTGCAAGGCTTCCCTTTTTTTTATTTGTTACCGAGTTGTTGGATTACTGAGAACATTGTCTGCATTTGAAATTTTATCATTTTTCTATTGTTAAAGTTGTTTGTTTGCTGAGAAAGTGAGGGATATGAAAAGAAAATAGGATTACATCATTTAATATGCGAGGAATCTAAATACAATATATATTTGGGATTCACTAAGCAAGAAGTTAAGGATTCGTTTGGACATATTTATATATATTAATTAGACTTTAGTATGATGAGATACTGCAAACCGTGGAGAGAAGGAAAAGATTATTTTGCGGATATGGGAAGATGTAGACATACTATCATGGTAGCTTAAATCTTAATAAATAAGAAGTTGAAAGTAATGCTGAAATGGGATTCATGCTTATTTTTCCAGGATAAAGATTATGGTTAACTTGAGTAATTTTCATAAAAAAAAAAAAAAGGGTTAACTTGAGTAATGAAGTTTTTATTGAATTAATTTTGTATGGGATGGATTTCCAATATGAGTTTTATTTGTCAATTGCAGCCTGTAGATATTTGATCCCGCGGAGTTTGATAAGTGGGTGGAGCAGGGGTATCGCACCTGCAATAGAGCCCAGCTTGATACTTTACAAGAAAATTTTAGATTTGGGCTTTAAGGTTTTCTCACTCACTGGATGCAGTGATAACCGTAGGTCCATTACTATTGAAAATTTGAGTAAAACAGGTTTTCAGAATTGGGACAAGCTTGAACTTTGTTGTGTGGCTCGTGTGGTAACTGTGTGGATGGAAAGTTCAATCCCCTTTGCCTCCATTCCCCCCTCCCCCAATTCCCCTAGCTCAAAAAAAAAAAAAAAAAAAAAAAAAAAAAAAA